ATGGAGGGGGCCGTCGCTGATGTGGGACTGTCTGTCGGATCACGGAGCACGGTGTACCTAGGCAGGACTACTCCCCGAATGAACCTCCATAAACGGTCGAGAGCGAGTTGCAAGTAGGAGCGTTTTAACACGTGTTAAAACGTCCATACAAGACCTACCCTTTCTCTCGTCCGCACTCCCCCAACCTCTTCAATCCATACAATCTAGTATCTACCCTACTCGCCAGGACAAAGCCCGATACACCAAAGTTCGCTACGACGCCCTTCAACACCTGTACGGGGAAAAATTCCCGCTTCGCTTCGCTCCGCTAAACTCAAAATGACCTCAAACTTACTCCGCCTCGAGAAACGAGTGCTCCTTTGAAAGAACTTTCAGCTGCTTGAGCGAGCCGCTTCGAAGAAGCCAAAACCCACTTAGGAGATATACCACTCGATTTCACCTATTTAAAAATGCCCTCGTCAGGATTTGAACCCGAGACCTACCCTATCCAGTTCTCTACTAGTCTTAACAACAACTCCAATATCAACATCCCTGAGTTCATCTCGATGGTTGATAGCATCCTCAACTCGATCAAACACAATCCCACCGCCACAGTTGGTGATATCCACACCAGGAGCATCCACATAGCACGCGATAGACCTATAAAGCTTGATATAGACTTCAACAACAAGTATCATCTCATAAGTATTCCTTAGTATTCCTTAATATCATCTCTGAATCGATCTCATAAGGATACGGCTCAATATGCACATGGTCAACTACATGTGTAGACGACAATATGAGAATTTTGAGAGCAAATTTTGAGAACTTCTCGTTGGTTTCTGAGCACTTCTACTCGAATTTATGAATAATGGTCTTAGTTCCTCATTGTCATCCATACCCAGCCATGTGCATATATATTCCCACATTGATGATACGTACCGTAATTCATCCGAATCATCCGTCCACCCATCGTCAGAAGAAACCTTCGAGAGTGGCCCAAGGGGAGTACTTCCGAACTCGGCCAGAAAGATCTTCATATCGCTGCGAAATTGATTCGTCAATACATTCAATGTGAACCTAAGAAACCGTCTCCAAATATAGTGAAATAAGAAGAGACTCCCCAACAGGTTTTACGCTCCATCATTCAGCACAGCTCAATAGAGAGGCGTATAAGTGTCAGACCATCTCAAACACTGCCCTCTCCCCCCAAGCCCCTCACAAGTCATTCTTAGCCGCCATAATAGCTTCTGTCTGAGCTTCAAAATCTCCCAACCAGGCCCAGAATGAGGGGCTCACTGCCTCTCCTTGAGACGATAGAGCACGACGTAGGTGACGCATAGTGTACCTGCAGTTGTATATTTCTGGCTCAATTTTATTATATCATTTATTTAATTTTCACTCGTGATATTAAAAACACTGGGAGAATTATAGTTAATGGTGTTAATGTTAAAATGTTGTTAATAATATATTTTTGATATACATGCTAGTGGAGTCCCACCCGTGATATGGAGAACACTAATGAAGTTATAATGGAGTTTCATCCGTGATATGGAAAACACTAGTGGAAAAACATTTCACGACTACTGCATATCACCGC